CCCACCAGTTACCGACCAACCGACAACGCTAAAAACCAACACTCTGGTTTGTTTCCCTGTTCTACGCCTACAAAACCCCACCAAAAAAAAAAAAAAAAAAAAAAAACACAAAAAAAAAAAAAAAAAAAAAAAAAAAAAAAAAAAAAAAAAAAGAATAAAATCAAAATCAAAATTGATTACAACTTTCTTTGTTCTCCCTTGCATGTTCCATATTGTTATTGTTTTTTTTTCTCTCTTTCCCTGACCGAAGTCAGGGGAGGAAAAAAAAATTATATGTTTCAAGCAAAAAGAAACGACTATGAACTAGATAAATAAATAATCACATAGACACTGTGACGCACACTATGTCTAAAATTCTTTGCTGCCTTTTTTGCGTCTCCTTTTCAGGTGAGCCATTTTTTAAATTTTATTTTCCCAGCAGCGCCCAAGAAAAGAAAAAAATGTCCTTCTTGAGAAAATGACAAGATTCCGGCCGTCATGAAATACCCCCTTTTTCAATTCATAATCCATCCGTCCGTCCATCCATCCACCCATCACGTGAAAGGAGAAGAGATTAAAGAAGAGCAGCAGCGACGGCAATAACGGCCAAAGCACCACCAGCCCGCTGAATATTCTTCTCGGCTCCCGCAGTCACGACCGCCTGTCCCGTGGTAGAAGTCTTTGACGGCTGGGTAATGGTGCCAAAGGACTTGCTAGTCGTAGGTGTAGGGGTAACCGTAGGGGTGGCAGTCGTAACTGGAGGAGGAATGATGATTGAAGACGGAGGAGGAGGAGGCGGGGGAGGAGGAGGAGGGGCATGAGACTTTGTCGGTGTGTATGTGGATGATGACGGCGGTGGGGGAGGAGGAGCCACAGAAGTGGGAGGAGGAGGAGGAGGAGGAGCCTCTGTGGTCTCAGTGACGGGGCAGACGGTGGTGCTGACGGGGATGGTGACGGTTGTCAAGACGGTGGAGTGAGCAGGGCAGTCAGTCCACTTCGGCGGGCAACTGGTGATGGTTGCCGTGGATGTGGTGTAGACTGTTGAGGTGGTCCACTTGCCGGGGAATGGATAGGGGCGAGTGAGGGTGAGTCCCGGGGGACCGAGAGAGAAGGTCGGCTTCTCGTGGTGGTGTTCTCCTTCGTGGGCAGCCGCGCGGACCGCGAAGGTAATGAGGGCAGCAAGTGTGGTCTTCATGGTGGGTGGTAGGTATTGCTTGAGAGTATTCCTCGAGATGAGGGCAACGAGTGACAGGAACGAGTGAATGGCACCGAAGGTACTGAAGAGGAAAAGAGAGAAGGAAAAAAAGGAGACCCTGTTTGGATATCTGAGGGGATGCAGGCACCCCTTTTAAATATTCACGGGGGGCAATGAGCAACTACCTACGTGCATACAGATACAAACAAAGGCCCAATCCCAAGGCGCGGGACGCAAGCAAAGCATGGGACGCACACATGGCGTCGTGTTTGCAAGGTTCCCGCCTCCCAAGATATTAAACGGCCTATACAATGATTCGACTGACAGGTACAGTCCCTACATGGTTGCCCTTGGCGGCTAAAGGGGGGAGGAGGTGCGCCTTGCAATCAAAATCCATATGAACGGGCCTGTGTGTGTACGGCCCCGCCCCCTTCAAGGCGCTTCCTCGGTGAAGTGAAGGTGGTTTCCCCCCTGATGTGCCGAAGGGGAGCGTGATCCATGGGTCGGCCTTTGGGGGGATGACGGCCTGAAGGGAGGCCAATGTCACCTCCCATCACCATAGGCAGCCGATCTGAACCTGTGGTGGTTTGTCCCCCTGCATTAACTGCGCTGGTCAATGCGACCCTAGAGCTTGTTTTTCCCTCTCGTCCCACTCGGGAAGACTTGCCCTGGGCTTATACCACCCGGGCACAACGTCGAGACAATCTGTTTGGACAGGGCCATCCCCATCGGCCAAGCAGGCAAGCTGGTGATATTGCAGAAAGCGTTTCGAAAACCAGCAAAAAGACATTGAACCACTTCAATTGAGCCACAAGGAAGGTTACAGCAGAGGACCAGACCAGATCTCCTCGGATCTTCCATGCGGAATTGATTCTCTTTCACTCGCACACGAGACGCCCTGGTTGCACGAAACACGAATCCATGGGTCATCATTGAGGTGGAAGATCGGGTGTGAAACGAAAAGCGTTGGCAACAGCAACAGGGACAGGGAGCCCCCGGTCGGCGGATGTCGATCAACTGTGGCTTCCTCAAACTAAAAACTTTGTATGTGGCTAATGGTGGTGATGCTTCAAGCTTGGCCAAAAGGGGGTAGTGGGGGAAGGGATGTGTGTGGCTGAAGCTCCGAAGACCGAATTTGGGGTCGGCACCAGCGCCGCACCATGCCACCACCTGTTTGTTGCGGATACCACGGACGGAGACCGAGTGCCATCAAGGACCCGTTACACCCACTGACAACCACACCTAAACAGCTTGATGCTGCATGGAATGGTGACAGATTGTACATTTTGATTTTTTTTCCATTTCTTTTTGCTCTTCTTACTGTCTCTACGTTGTAATACATACATATACCACTTGTTCTCTGCCCAAGTCGAATCGACATTTCCGCAATTTGCATTCATCAGCATTGAAATCGCATTTCCAACTCATCGCCAAAGAAGAAAGCATACAAACTTCAGACATGGCGCCACCCGTCGAGGCGGCCACTCGGAAACGGGTTCTGAGGGTCATTTTCGTCTCATTGTTGCTGGACTTGGTATGTCGCTGTGCGCTAGATCATTAGAGACATTGACTAAACAAAAGTCCGCGACCACTTGCGCAGATCTCCTTCACCTTTATCCTCCCCCTATTCCCCAAGCTCCTCGAGTTCTACCGCAACACCGAAGTCCCAACCGATCCTTCCGCCCCCGCCACCGAGACCCTCCTCTCCAGCCTGCTGGGATACCTCAACGCGTACAAGGCCGCCTTTGCGCGACCCATCGATTCGCGTTACGACATCGTTCTGCTGGGCGGAGCGCTGGGCAGTCTCTTCAGTCTCCTCCAGGCCGTTGCTTCCCCCGTCATCGGCCACCTTTCTGATCGCTATGGTCGTCGCACCGCATTGCTTGCCAGCATGGCGGGAAATATCCTCTCGGTCCTCCTCTGGGTTGTAGCCGTCGACTTCCGGACCTTTCTCGCCTCGCGCATTGTTGGGGGCTTGTCCGAGGGTAACGTTCAACTGGCCACGGCCATTGCGACGGATATTTCCGATGTCAACGACCGCGGCTCGACCATGGCCCTCATCGGCGCATGCTTCTCCATTGCCTTCACCTTCGGACCTGCGCTGGGTGCTTGGCTCAGCACCATCGCAACAGTGGCCGCAAACCCTTTCGCTACCGCTGCTGGAGTGTCACTGTTCCTGATTGTGCTTGAGACGGTTTATCTCTACTTCAGCCTACCGGAAACATTGCCCTCACTGGTCAATGCCAAGAAGGCCGACTCCTCTTCCTCGAGCAAGGAGAAGAAGGAGGCGAAGACGGCGCCGGCGCCATTGCAGAGGACCAACTCCCACTTCTTGCTCAATTTTGTCCACATGACCTTCCTGCTCTTCTTTTCGGGCATGGAGTTCTCTCTGCCCTTCATGACGTACGATTTGTTCGCATACACCTCGGCCAAGAATGGAAGACTTCTTGGTTTTGTGGGGCTGATCGCATCTCTCCTGCAGGGCGGTGTCACTCGTCGTCTGCCACCACTTTTGTCAGTCAGGATTGGTGTTGTGGCATGCCTCATCTCTTTCGTGCTTCTCGGCCGCATCACGTCTGTTTCTGGTCTCTATTTGGCAGCCACGGGCTTGGCAACCACTTCAGCAACGGTCGTTTCGGGCTTGAATACCTTGAGCAGCTTCGAGGCGAGCGAAGGCGAGCGTGGCGGTAAGCTGGGTATCCTCAGAAGTTGGGGTCAGCTCGGTCGAGGATTGGGTCCCGTTCTGTTCACCAGCGTGTACTGGTGGGCAGGGCGTGAGGTTGCATACACCCTCGGAGCTACCGGCATTGCTGGTGTGAGCTTGTTGGTCTTCTTTGGTCTCAAAACGCCGCCTGGCTCGGTGAAGCCTCGCAAGCCAAAGGCGGCGGCGGCGGGTGACGAGAAGGAGGAGCTATAAAGATGCATGTGTCCACATGGCTATGTGGAGGGCACTTTGTATATGTATGGCAAAACGTTTGACGTTCATTGTAATATATATATTGCTTGTTTTGATTGTGCTTAAACGTCTGGCAATAAATAGAACATAATGGAATGTATTTCAGTAGAACAAGCAAAAAGGAGAACACCGCCGGCGGGACTCGAACCCACAGTCTTCAGCTTGCCTGTATAGGAGGCTGACGAGTTACCTGGAAATGTAGACTGTCAGTAAGGTGAATCGAACACAGGCAGGGAAGGACTAAAGGTGTACTAACCATTTCTCTACGGCGGCTGCGCGGGAACCACTTGACCATGAAGCCTGTGCTCTATTCGTTTATTGGTGAACTGGAAAGTGTTGGGCGGGCTTATCAGGCTTCGATGTGGAAGGTGTAGGTTTGTGGCTTCATCAGGATGCTGGTCTGGACCGCTCTGGCCTGAGGATTACTTCACATGTGGACCTCTCGTCAAACGCTCTCTTTTCCATCCGATTTGATACCGCCAGGCAAACATTCATGGCAAGCGTAACGGGAGGCTGCAGAACTTTGATGTCCCCTGCCTCCAGGCTTGACGTTTGATTCCTTGATGCGTCTTGCGCTGTCACTCCCGGACTGCCATGGATTCCAGGGCTCCATCCATCACATGGAGTCCACTCCTACCGTGCCTTCCTTATTTTCAGGTTGAGACTTGCAACAGCCCACCGGGTTGCCACATCAAGAACTTGCTTCTTAACATATGCGAGACAAATTCGCCGTTCAAGTTGCATCACTATCGAGTGGTTTGCTGGTAGGCTGTCATTAATGGAAATAATCGGAGCAGCATGTGATTGATAGCTTACATAATACTCTTCATTTTCAGCACCACATGATTCGACTTCGTGGGGTAATATTTCCTTTGTTGATGTTTTGATATCAGGGTACCAAATAATGACCGGTCACTCGGTGAGAAACACATCACCTGGCAATTCTCTGGTAGGTGACCGGGGCTATACGCACTTACGAAGAGCCTCATTGGTATACGGAGAGTGCGTATTTAGGGGTCAGGAATGACTCCGCCGACCCACCATTTTCGATCCATTTCCCCTCTTTATCGGAATCACATCTTCTTGATGCAATCGCGCTTACGAAGACCGCCCGATGGCGAAGGACTGGTTATGGTACTTGGCTCAACGACGAGAGGAAAAAAGAGCACTTGAAGACAGTCGATCCCGATGAGAAATTCCTTCAAGAAAATTATAAACCAATTATTGAATGCCCCGTGATGGCCCCTTCTCCCTCCCCAAGACGCCTGGGCTATTACTTGCTTCAATCCATAGCCCTCTCGCCCCTCTCCCAACCAGCATCGGCTCTTCGCGGTGCTTTCGACGTCCGGGAAGCCAGCATCGAAGGCGTCCATAACGCCCTTTTCACTGGCATAACGACATGTCGAGAGATAGTATCGGCCTTCATCGCCCGTATTGAAGAGTTCAACCCTGCCATCAACGCCATCATCTCCTTAAACCCCGATGCTCTCTCGATTGCAGACCACTTGGACGAACGAATCGCCTCTGGCAACGTCACAGGATCCCTCTTTTGCATCCCCGTCCTTCTCAAAGACAACTACGACGCCATCGGCACCAACACGACAGGAGCCTGTCTTGATCTGGCAAACAACAAACCCCAAGAAGATGCTCCAACCGTTGCTGCTCTGAGAAACGCAGGAGCCGTCATGCTCGGCAAGACAAACCTACACGAGATGGCTTTCGAAGGCTTGTCTGTCTCCTCCCTTGGCGGCCAAACCAAGAACCCTTTTGACCTCACCCGAACGCCCGGAGGCAGCAGCGGAGGCACCGGAGCAGCAATCGCCGCCAACTTTGCAATATTCGGGACAGGGACTGACACGGTGAACTCGCTACGAAGTCCAGCAAGTGCCGGATCATTATTCAGCTTCCGCCCAACCCGCGGTCTCATCTCCCGAGCAGGAGTCATTCCGGTTGGCTTCACCCAAGATACTGTGGGGGCAATATCTCGAAACCTGAACGACCTAGCTGTCGCTCTGACGGTCATGTCCAGCGTCGGTTTCGACCCAAACGACAACACAACTGCTTCTATCCCCCCACAAGTCCAGCATAAAGACTACTCCGCCTCTCTTTACGGCGGCAGTCTCAAAGGCCTTCGCTTCGGTCTACTAAATGGATTCTTCAATCACACCCCATCCCCAGAAACAACCCCAGTAAACGACATCATGTCCTCCATCATCTCCCACCTCACATCTGCAGGCGCCACCGTCGTAAATATAACAGACCCAATCTACAACACAGTCACCCTAGCAGCTCTCGACGTCCAAATCTACGAATTCAGACAACAACTAGACGCCTACCTCGCCCGCTCATCCCTCAGCGGCTCCTCTCCACGACCAAACAGCTTCGCGGAGCTATACACCACCAACAGTAACAACAACTCGGGGCAATTCCTCGTCATCCCGGCGCAATATCAATTCCTTCGCTCCATGTTCACTTCATCCACATCCAACAACACCTACCTCCGAAACCTTCATGGCATACATGACCTAATCAACTCACTCGAAACCACTTTCACAAGTAATAACCTTGACGCCATAATCTACCCTGAACAGAAAAACCTAGTCGTCAAAATCGGTTTGCCAAACCAGGCAGGACGAAACGGGATCTTGGCTGCTCTGACAGGAAGACCGGTCGTCACGATCCCTGCTGGATTTTCTCCCGCCACGGACGAATCTCCGGTGGGTGTCCCGGTGGGAATGGAGATATTGGGCAGGAAATGGACCGAGGGGAAGTTACTCAGTATCGCAAAGCATATCAGTGATTTGATCGGGCCCGTGAGGAAGATGCCGCCTTTTGCGAATGGGACTGTTGAGAGGAGAGAATATGAGAGTGTTCCGGTTATTAAACCGGATAGGGATGTGCCCGAGGTTTATCCATTGGGAGTCTTTTAAACATAGATACAATCACTTGGGTTTTATTTTTATTTTTTTTATATTTATTTATTTATTTATTTTTTTTTAAAAAAAAACCAACAGGAACTGTCTAGCTTGCTATCTACTTGGGCTCGGAAATCATTCTCGGCCAGTGCTGTTGACGAATCGAATGCATTAATTACTGATCTACTTCTCTTTTGAGAGAAGAGTCAAGAAAGACAAGACTTGAAATCCTTTCTACGGCCATAAGATCTGGCCAGTCCAGCCCGCTTGATATCATAGACAAGCTGAGGATTGCCACCTTCTAATTTCTCAACCTTCCCAATCATGACTTGGTATTATGCATGCGTGCAGTGTAAGTCGGAACCTGCCGAAACCCAGCGGAGTCCACAAAAACTTGCTGCAGCCTTACCACTCCGCTTCAAGGTTGTGGTCCGTTCACTCAGGGGTAAAAAAAAACGGTGATCTGATCCACACAACTAACTAGTGTAGTTAGTGTAAGGCACGGAATGCAAGGACAATCCAGGGGTAAAGTGAAGCAACAAGCTGCTCCAAAAAAGTGGAGTTGTTGAATAGGTATGTACATACATGCAACAACAACTTCAATTTCAGTACCTGAAAGAGGTGTTGAGCTGTCTACCTAAACAAAAAAATTGTTGATAGAATGCTATCGTGGCTCACAGGCTGTCTCTCAACCATTACTCAAAACTAAAAATCATCTTTTTTTCATCTTTTTTTCTTTTTGGCAGTCTTCAAACTATTTACACCAAAACCAGCATGATGAACAAAGGAAAACCACAAACTTGCTCAACAAGGATTGACAACGCCCAAGGCGGAAGAAAAAAAAACATATGTGCAAATGTTGTGAGACAAAAGAAGCCAGAAATATTAACTCACAACACCATAAATCAAAATATAAAGTGAGAGAAGAAACTCAAGATCAAATACAAACAAGTACAAGAAACAACAACAGCAGCAACAGACACACCACTCAAATTTCCATCCCAAACCACCAGAGGGGAGAAGAAAGAATATCATATGAATTTGTTTGTTGGAGAGTAGGAAAATGGGGGTATCATTCTAGATAGATAAATGGGGGAATGTAAATCAGGTAAGGGGTGTGTATAAATAAAATAAAAGCCACTGACAGTTCAGAACTACTACCTTGCCAGCAGTCAGTCCCTTTCAGTATACTGTATGGCAATAGAAGAGAGATAACAAGAAACAGAAACGAGAAAAATGCAAAACTTTAAAAGCAAACCACCAAACAAATTATCTGCCTCCCCATCTCTCTCTCTTTCCTTCTTCTCATTCATTCTTCCTTTTTCTCCTACCCCTTGGGTCTTCCCACCCAATAAGGTACTTGCCCTCTTCCTCTCCCCTTTCTTCCTCCCACGATTGCTGCCTCGAATTTTGTTACTCATCATATCTAATAGAAAAACGTCGCGGGTCTTAAACAAAGTATTATGAAAAGACAAAAAAGGAAATCTGACAAAGGAAAGAATAAATATCCGGCCAATCAGGCTCGAATGATATCGGTTGTTAATATCGATAGATCCCTCTTTCCTTTTCCATCGAAATATCGATGCTTTGTGATCAAGTCCCAGCCTTTTAATCTTCATCAAAGAATCCGGCATCGTCGAAATCCTCGACCTGTGCATCGGAGTCATAAGCGGCAGGCCGCATCATAGGAGGAGTCATTGGTCCGGGAACTGCTGCTGCCCTCCTAGGTGGAGTGCCCGTTATCGGCGCAGCGCTCTCCTGAGCCGAAGTCGAGACAGTTGATGAGGGTCCACGAGGTCTGTTGGCCAGATCTTGCGGAGTAAACCGACGACCTGTGCTCGAGAAAGCAGTGGGTTGTTTGGCTTGAGCAGCAGCGACGGGTGTAATTTGGCGAATCCCAGAGGCAGGCGGCGTCAAAAGTCCACCAAGAAAGCTGCTCGCCGAAGGACTGCTCTTAGAAGGTGTCGAGTTGCTCGTGGGACCGGGAGACGCGAGAGAGCTGCCGAAATCTCTTCCCTTTCGCCAGTTGCCCCATGCCGCTGCCAAAGGGCCGACGGCTTGAGCAACGCGAGGTGTCGCCGTCTCACGAATGGTGGCAGCAATATTGGGAAGGTTGATGGCTGAACCGCCATTCATGGCCCTCTCCCGTTCCTGTTCCTCCATCTGAAGGTTCGCCTTCAGGCGGATGGCTGCGTCCTTGACAGCATTCTTGTCGTAATCGTCCCGTCCGAGGGCAGTGATAATGTCGTAAAGATCCGAGTGCCTTACGGCAAGAAGCTCGCGAAGCCAGATGATTTCGTCATCACGCTTGGAAATCTTGGTCTCGGCGTCAGGATCAGCCTTGGAGAGTTTGTGCTC